CATCAAACAGACAAGTGAGGCACTCAGGGATTCCCCTCTGGGGCCCAATGTGGGGGGCTCTGCAACACCCACACCCTGGTGACCTGTGGGGTTTTGTGGTGTTTTAGCTGGTGGAGGCAGTGACCTCAGACTCTGGACAGTGAATGGGGACCTCGTTGGACACGTCCACTGCAGAGAGATCATTTGTTCTGTGGCTTTCTCTAACCAGCCTGAGGGAATATCTATCAATGTGATTGCTGGGGGATTAGAAAATGGAATTGTAAGGTAAGAGGAGTTTGATTTCTTTGTGTCCTTTTGCTCATAAGGACATAGCAGTTTCAAAAAAATATTTTTTACTATCTAAACATAATATTTAATATTTAGAGATTTAAAATCACCTTAGGATATATGTTCTTCTGGTGTTTCTGTTTTATTTCTAAATAGTAATTTGTACATTTTTGAAATTTTATATTTTTTAACTATAAAAAGTTCGGTTCAGTTCAGTTGCTCAGTCGTGTCCAACTCTTTGCAACCCCATGGACTACAGCACACCAGGCTTCCCTGTCCATCACCAACTCCTGGAGCTTACTCAGACTCATGTCCATTGAGTTGGTGATGCCATCCAACCATCTCATGCTCTGTCATCCCCTTCTCCTCCCCGCTTCAATCTTTCCCAGCATCAGAGTCTTTTCTAAAGTGTCAGTTCTTTGCATCAGGTGGCCAGAGTATTGGAGCTTCAGCTTCAGCATCCATCCTTCCAATGACTATTCAGGACTGATTTCCTTTACGACTGACTGGTTTGATCTCCTTGCAGTCCAAGGGACTCTCAAGAGTCTTCTCCAATGTCACAGTTCAAAAGCATCAGTTCTTCAGCACTCAGCTTTCTTTACGGTCCAACTCTGATACCCATACATGACTACTTGAAAAACCATATTTTTGACAAGATGGACCTTTGTTGGCAAAGTAACATCTGTGCTTTTAAATGCGCTGTCTAGATCGTCATAGCTTTTCTTCCAAGGAGCAAGCATCTTTCAATTTCATGGCTGCAGTCACCATCTGCAGTGATTTTGGAGCCCAAGAAAATAAAGTCTGTCACTGTTCCATTGTTTCCTCATCTATTTGCCATGAAGTGATGGGACTGAATGCCATGATCCTCATTTTTTAATTGTTGAGATTAACAATATGAAATACACAAAGTATTCTTAATCCCATACCCACCTGAGCAAACTGCCCAGAATTAACCACGTTAATCGTTTATTGTGTTGCCTTACCAGGTAATTTTTAACAAATAAACATGTTGGTTAAATTTTTAGTAAAGGAAACTTGAGCTTGTGTAATTAGATGATGACTTTTTTCCTTCCTCTAGGTTATGGAGTACTTGGGACTTAAAGCCTGTGCGGGAAATTACGTTTCCTAAATCAAATAAGCCTATTGTAAGGTAAAACCTCCCCCACCCCTCCCTGCTTCATACTATACTCTGTGACTGTTTCTGTTTGAGATATAGTATAGCACACAGAAGTAAAGAGGAACCTAAGGAGGATCATTATAAACAACTGGCTGTTTATCGAACACCAGGATGTCTGGGACCCCATGGCAGAAGGAGGCAAAGCATTTGTGTTCATGGAGCTTAAAATCTGGGTCAGGAGCTCAGAGCCTCACAGAAGGGTGTGCTGGGATCATGCCTGGGAAGGCCTCTTGAAATGTGGAAGTTATATATTTTTCCCTTTCATTATTGAAAATACCATAATGGTGACTGATAGCTACAGGAGTGTGCTAGACAAGACTGATAAACAACCTGTTACCCTCTGCTCCATTAACAAATATGACTTTAAAAACTCAATTGGAGTAAGTGATTCAAATTCTACTGCATTAAAATAAATTTATTTTTAATCCACTAAATGTAAAATGTAATAAAATAAAATTATATATTAATAACACATTTTTTATCTTTTCCTCTTTCAGGGAAATAAAATACCTCCATAAAATAATCCTCATTTATTTCTTTTTTTTTTTTTTTCCATTTATTTTTATTAGTTGGAGGCTAATTACTTTACATCATTGCAGTGGGTTTTGTCATACATTGAAATGAATTAGCCATGGATTTACATGTATTCCCCATCCCGCTCATTTATTTCTATATAGAGAAAATGTAGTACTGTTATATGTTTTTTGAAGTTTCCTATACCCATGTATTTGTTGTTTAAGTAATAACACTAAATAGGAAAGGAAAAGAAAACATGCAAAGAGGGATCAGAGTGTGCCAATCTTTTGATCTTGGTTTTAGTCTGTATCACCTGGTTAGAATGAGCATCACAAACTTGGCAGCAGAACCATTAAACTATATTATTACAGTCAAAACCACTTGTAGGTGGTTGTTTTATCTGTCTCTCTGCTCCAGTAAAGACTCTTAACTTCTTACACCAATTTCCACATGATCACCAGTATGCTGATACAATTTTCAGAGACACAACATAGAAACGGGACTCTTTTTCTTTTACCAGCCTTACCTTTTCCTGTGATGGCCACCATTTGTACACAGCGAACAGCGATGGGACTGTGATCGCCTGGTGCCGGAAGGACCAGCAGCGCTTGAAACACCCAATGTTCTATTCCTTCCTCAGCAGCTACGCAGCCGGATGAGTGAGGGGAACTGCACTCTCCACAGCACTTTAACTCCAGGCTGCATTTACTGACTTTGCCAGTTTCAGGAGCTCAAACCTGAAGACACGGATGACCAAACAAATCCAAGCAATGATACAGTCTGTCCATCTGCACAAAATTCTGCTGCCTCACAAGGTCCTGAAAGGAAAGTTTTGTTCTAATTTAGTGATGTTCTGGAGAGTTGTATCAAGGTTGAAGTCTGGCACAGTAAATTAAAATCATATCCTTGAAGTTTTTTTTCCATAGAGGAGTCTAAACAAAAACTTATCTCTATTTCTGTTTTCTATTATTTTCTATTATTCCCCCCCAAAACACCCAGTAGAATTTAAATTGGTTAGCTAATTGTTTACATAAAATTTTCTCTAAAAGATTATTATACTTTTAAAGTTTTCTGCCAAAATAACACACACACCTGCCCCTCCCCCAAAAAAAGGAAGGATAAGGAGAGAGAATTCAGGACTTGATTATTGCTTTCTTTGAGCAGTAAGGAGTTCAGTAGGTGCCTCTGCACCAAACATTTTTTGGAATATCTGAATATTTGAATCTCAGTGTTAGGCAGTTTTTGCCTGTTGCCTTCTTAGCTGAAAGTAGAACCAGAATTTGTTTGACAGCCACAAACAACACAGGTATCTTTGATTTTCAGACACATTCTGTTTCTTCATAAAAATCATACTTAAAATCTGCAACACTAGATAATGAATATTCTTAGTTGAGGCACTAAGATTTAATAAACAAAATGATAATTCTTTTTAATATCTGGCATTTACAGAGCATTGAATGCTTAACAATTTGCAACTGAAAGCCTCCACTACAAAAGAAGTTTGCACAGGTATAGCAATGCAATCCAGATAAGGCTTTTAATCTAATATGCTGAAGAGTTTTCTTCCCCAAAACAGAATTACAAAGAAAAGGAGATAGCTTCCTTTGTTTTAATAGGAGGCAGAATCATTCTTTTAGAAAGCAGTTCCCACTGTTTCTGTTAACCTATTCTAGGAACAGTAGAAAAATCTGTGTACTCCACAGCAAACTTACACACGATCAAGACAGAATTCCTGAAAACCCTGAAATAGCCTATTTCTATCATGATAGTACTTGGGGTGCTGCTTTATTGGCTTTGAAAACTGTAAAATAAGCTCAGTAATGTTGCCATGAGATAAAAAAATATATTCCCGCCTCAGAATAACTTGCGTGTTTGTTATGGAAATTTAATTCATATAGTGTTTACAGAAGTACTTTTGTAACTTCCAGACTTTCTAAAACATTCTGCTTAAAAACTGTATAATATACAATTCCAAAGTCTCTGCTGTCTAGATAAACACAAGAGGAAGCAAGTGGCCACGTACGCTCATAACCTTCAGTTGCACACATAGGTAAGAACGCTCCATGGCTACATTCAGATCATGGTTTGCACAGACCAGCTGTTAATTCTGAGGTCCAATTAGGTGCAGAGATGAAATTATTCCTATTCACGTTGAAGTGATTTGCTTTGTTTAAAAAAAAATGCAGCTATTGTCTAGCGTTCATTTTTCTACTGAGAACTTTAAATTAGTTCCTTATTAGAACAAGTTGCTACTCAGTCTTTTTTTTTTAAGCTGAATTTCATCATTTATCTGAAGAGAAAATATGCAAAATAACTGGTCTTGTTAAGAGTGCAATATTATATTTTTATGTAAAAATAAAAAAATTGGGGGGATTATTTATTCAGCATGAACTTAATATGTATATGTTTGAAACACTTCACAATGTGCATGTTGTAGCAAATATTTCTGTAAATTATCACAAGCTGTTACCTTTGTATACACTGCCACTTCAAATTGGGAATAAATTTCATAAAAATAGATTTAAGGACTTGTTCTTAATACAATTTAAATATTATAACCACGTCTCAAATTGATGGGTTTTTTTGGTAACCCATATATTTTCTCTTTAGCTGCCCTATAAATTTATGTCACTGGAAAGGATAACTTTCATTTCTGAATTGTGGTCTTTGTGAGAAATTGTATGTTTTAACCTTTAAATGGAGTTGAGAGAGAAGTCTAAGGTAAACCACTCATTTTTTTTAAAAAAGAGTACCTGCCCGTCCCCTCCCCCCGCCAATAGCACATCTGTATTGGGCCCCGCCTGTATACCCGGGGCCACACGAGGTGCTGAGGCACGGTGGTTCCCTGCACTCCTAGAGAAAATGCTGTCAGTAACCAATGTGAGTTGTTACAAAACGCGGTCAGTGGTGTGAAGGAGGAGCAGACGGTCCTCTGAGAAAATAGAACTGAAGAATTCAGTCTAGATCAAGGCGATCCAGAAAAGTCAAATTGTTGTTGACAATGAATGGATGAAGAGAACTCTGACAGGTGAAGATGAACTCAGATGTGCTCCACGCCGTCCATCTGCCAAGGACTGAGGACCATCAGCGAGCAGATGTCCAGTGAAGGAAACGCCTCGGCTTCTCTGGAGGGCCCTGCAGAACAGTGGGTGAGTTCAACCGCCAGCGCTCCAGGAACACAGAATCACTCTTTTTTTCTGCTTTGCACCTGCCGAGTCTGAAGGATTCCCAAGCCAAGAGCACGCCTGCTTCTCAATGTCTGCTCCTAAAGGAACTGGGGAGCAGCGTGTGTCAGTGTGATCCGGCCGGACGCCCTTGCCTCACCTGCAAGCCTGAGGTGGACTCTTGCGCTCCGCTGCGCACAGTGCAAGCCCACATGTAGGTGAGGGGAGGGAGGGGCAGTTGGAAGCTCTTCCCAGCCCCTCAGGTCTGTTCCTCACCAGTCTGGATGACCTGTTAATGTCTTGAGTCAAAGACAGAAGAGCTGCAGGGGGTTCCCGTTCCAGAGAGTGCCATAGGGCGATCCTGAGCCCACCCCCCTCCACAGACACCCTGACTCTCCAGCTCCACACAGAACAGTTCCCTCTGAAAAAACCCCAAGAGCTTGCGAAGCAACTCTTGAGAAGCTGGTGAGCAAAACTCATCAGGACAGGTAGGAGAGGCTGAGACACGCTCTCACTACAAACCCCACTCCCAGCCCAGCAGCCCACGGTCAGGGCTGGGGACCAACAGCTCCCAGATGCTCCCTGAGGAGGGGAGGATTTGAACCCCACAGCAGCATCCCAGCTTTTAAGACCTGTACCTGAGAGATGCACCCCCCCCAAAACATCTAGCTTTGAAAGCCAGTGGGCCTAGTCCACAAGACCCATGAGCCTACAGCATCTGAGAAACAGGTCTCTGGGGGCTCTCCCGGACCCACCAGGCTAGCACCCCAGGGCCTGGCACGGAGGCCTCAGACTGAAAGGTTCCAGTCTTCTCTGCGTAAGAGGCCTGTTGCGGGTCTCGAAAGCTTCAGCCTGAGGGGCAGGCATTTAACACACTTCTGGAGGCCACTGAAATACTCCCTAAAGACAGCCGAGACTGGCAGGCACCAACTTTGTGCCCAGCCTCTCCTTTCCCAGGTTTTCCCAGGAGGGCACAGGCCTGGGGCCCCGGGTTTTGTGGCTGCCTCCCAGAGGGATGCCCCTTCAATCCCCTGGCTCTGGTAGCCAACCATGCCTACCTTCCCAGGCCCCACAGGACTGTAACAAACAAACGGTTCTTAACCAGCCACCAGCCAGGGAACAGTGCAGAAGCAGCAGACAAGCTCCCGTCTTTCCAGGAAAGAGGCCTGTGAGCGCGTCTTCACGGCTCTGGGGCAGGAGAGGGGGTGCTGCTTCAGCACACATCCCGAGGTCACTGCAGGCAGTGGGGAGGCCAGTGGGTGTCACATTCATGCCGGCCCTCTGTCCTGCCCAGGTCTCCGGCGTCTCAGAGAAAGCCGCTTTTGATGTCTCTAGCATCGCCACCAGAGGCCACATCCCTTGAAGCCTGGCTCTAGTGGCCAGCAGGGCTTGTGTTCACAGGTTCGATGGAACAGCAGCAAAGACGCACTTCTTAACTACATCCTCGGGCTTCCTGCGCCTCTCCCATCTTCCCCAGAAAGAAGTCTACTTGTGTGCTTCCCAGAGGGATCGGGCGGAGAGGGAGGTGGGAGGGGGGACCGGGATGGGGAACACATGTAAATCCATGGCTGATTCATGTCAGTGTATGACAACACCCACTACAATATTGTAAAGTAATTAGCCTCCAACTAATTAAAAAAAAAAAAGCCGCTGCCTGAGGGTCCAGCCTCCAATCAGCCTTCAGAAAAACAAAAACCTTTAGTCTCAAAGGGCTTCACTGACTTCCATGGAGAAACTCAAGCAGTCACTGCTGAGATCAGTAAGTTGCAGGACTCCGTGCCTCCTTAAGGGAAATCCACAACTGGATGCAGCCTTTCTGAGCTGTTCTAAGAAGCTGAGGCCTCCCACCTGCTCGAGGACAGTAATTACCTGCTGACTACAAGCACGTAGACTCGACCAGCTAGAACCAGAAGGCAAGACCCTGGAAACATCACCCTGTTACCACACCACCAACCAATCGAAAGGAGAAGGTCCGTGAGCTGCTCACACATCCTACAACCCTCTCCACTAGCACCGTCGTCAAAAGCCCCGGCCTGAAAGCCGCTGGGGAGTCCGGGTCTTCTGAGCACCAGCTGCCCATTCTTGCTTGATACAGCAACAAATCCTCCTCTGCTCCAAACTCTGATGTTTCAGTTTGTTTGGTCTCGCTGTGCGTCGGGCACACAACCTAGGGTTTGGCGACAGTTTCTGACAAGCCAGCCAGGAGCCTGTTCCTACGGCAGGTGGGCCTCAGCTGGGGCAGCCCCTCCCTCGTGCCCCGTGGAGCTGCCAGGGCTCATGTCACCTGCAGGAACTCTGAGTAGTATTCTGACTTACCGCCAGCCCTCGGTCCATTTGGGGGTAACTTGCTCCAGCTTGGGGGCTAGGGGTTATCCCCCCGCTTCATGCCCTTTGAGGAAACAAGCCTATCTGGGAGCAGCACCGTCTGGCCATCAGATGTCTATCTAGGAGGGGGAATGGAATAGTTAGGCGGTACTGGTCTGATCTTTTGTCTGAGCAACTGTGTTGTATTTGTGTGCATGTGTAAAGAGTACTTGTATTTTTGACAAAATGGGAAATACCAACTTCACCCCTGCCTTCCTGAGTCCCAGAGGCTGATCAGGACACCTGATCACTAAAGGCTTCAGGGAAATAATCTGTGTCTCTCTTCCTGGTTTTGACTTCTGTTAGAGAGTCCTGGCTCTGACAGCCCAAAGGGGCCCTGGTTTTGATTTCTATTAAGAGGGTCCTGGTAACTTGAATTATTTGTAGAGGATTGGTAGACCTGAGTATACACTTTTGTCAATCGGAAGAACTTACTGAGAAGAACAACTCTCCAGAGAAGGAAATTTTCAGTGGTCTAAGAACAGAAGAATCTGTGTCTCCACCAAACCTTAGTCTAGACCTCTGTGTAGTCAGAGGCTGATCCTCAACTGAGACCAAGGATATGGGAACCAGATATCAGTCCCCTTGGCCAGCCCATCAGGGTGCATTCTGAGGCACTGGAAACTATGGCTCCACCTCAGTGATGAAAAAATAACTTCTTTTCTAATACTGTCTGGCCACAATACCAACTAAGTAACCGGGAGGAACGGCCAGAGAACGGCTCGTTAAGTCATAGCACCATGCTCCAGCTCGGCTTGTTCTGTGAGAGAAGGGAAGTGACGTGAGATTCCCTATGTGCAATGCTCCTGGCCTGTAACCAGAGCAGGGACTCCAGGAAAAGTGCAGACTTGGGCCTGCTCAGCTGTCTAACTCAAGGAGGAAGACCTCACTCTCTGCAGAAAGGACCCCCTGAAGACGCCTTATATTTCCCTTTGCCCCGAGTGCTCCAAATACTCACCACACACTTCAGAAGATGACAGCAGGGCCTAACACACCCATCGGAGGTCCCAAATGGCTGAGGCGGCCTTTAAAAGGTTTTCAGTAACCGAGACTTAGCAGCAGAAGAGAAGAAGCAAGCTGCCTTGTCTGTAGCAGTGTTACACAGCACCTCAGGGAGCCCAGGGGAGAGAATAAGAACGCTTCTCAGGTCAGCACCCCTGCCACCAACGTGGGGTGTGGGACATGCAGGCCACCAGCAAAGCTGGCTCCTCATCAGTGCACTTGCTGCAAGAAAGAGGGAGGACCTGAGCTAAACCTGCTTCCTTCCAGCTCCCGTTAGGTAAAGCAGCAGACTGGGGGCTCCCCAACTGGTCCATTGAAACACCCCATCTTCCTTGGGGAGCCCTAGTTACCCTAGAAGCTGGGGGCAAGCCAGTTGTGTTTGTTTTGTCTTATTTGGCCACGCCACATGGCATGTGGGATCTTAGCCCCCTCCCACCCACCCCACCCACCCTTCCCCCGTCCAGGGACTGAACCCACATCACCAGCATTGCAAGGCAGAGTCTTAACCACTGGACCACCAGGGACGTCCCCAATTGTGCTTCTGTTAGACAGCGAAGCCACATTCCCAGTGTTGACAACTCGAAGGGGTTCCCTCTCCAAGACATCAAAAGGGTCTCAGGAAGGGAAGATACAAGGAAGTGTTGCCCTGAAAATTCCCCAGATGAGGGTCATTTGACAATCTAAAATGGTTTTACACACAGGCATACAAGCAACATCAGGGGCTAGGGGAGAGTTGACCGAGGCCAAGGTTTATACCCTGCTGAAAAGAGTCATAAAGACGTTCTCTGAGGGCAGGAGGACAATGCACCAATGAAATGAAAATTCACATTTTAAGGAAAGACAAGAAAAAATGAAACATAAAACTATTTCTCCGCAGGTTTGGGCCTCCTCTCCCCTCCCCACATCTGCATTTAGTGCGACCCAGATCTTCCCCACGGCCACCTCCTGGCACCAGCTACATAACTTCTCCAGAAGATCTTCCAGCCCAGGGATCTAACCCAGGTCTCCTGCATTGGCAGGCGGATTCTTTTACCACCTGGGAATCCCAAACGTTTACTTAGGACCTTATTAATGTTACTAGCTATATTATAAGATTATTATTTCTTGCATTTCCAAATGTGTGACTAAGCCTCAGATAAAAATTAAGATGACTAGGCAACTTGAAACAACTGACCAGAGATATAGTTCTATAAGAGCAGTGATTGTAACGGTTTAACTCTAGAAATGGTAAGAAGCAACCAGAAGGAAACATTTTCAGGCCCATAACCGACTAGTTAGGACAGGTGGTCTAGAGGCTTTGGATTACTGTTAGGTGGCCTAGTCCTGTAATCGCACAGTAAATGGCCTAGCAACGAAATCCTTGCCTGACCAGGGGTGGGCATTCCAAGCATAGGAAGACAAATGCTTCCCAAACCTTGGTCGAAATTAAGACCAAAAGGGAAGGGTCTGTACAACAGACAATGTTGCTTACCATCCAATTCTTGTAGAATCAAGCCCCTATAGTCGCAGACCTATAATACATTTTGAAAGGAATTCAGGGTGAAGATCAGGATGAGGCAGTCCGTGCTCTGGAAAAACTGACGGAACTGGCCCTA